GATGATGACGATGATGATGATGCTGATGATGATGTTGATGATGATGATGGTGATGGGGATGGTGCTGGTGATGGTGATGGTGATGATGATCATGATGATGATGATGACGATGATGATGCTGGTGCTGATGATGATGCTGATGATGAATGCTGATGATGAGAGATGATGATGATGATGATGATGATGATGATGATGATGATTATGATGATGATGATGGTGATGGTGATGGTGATGGAGATGGTGATGATCCCGGCCCCCCCCCCCATCTCCTCTCCTCCCCCCACTCTCCTGTCCCCCCCCCCTCTCTCTGTCCCCCCCCTCCCCCCCCTCTCTCCTTTCCCCCCCCCCCTCTCTCCTGTCCCCCCTTCCCTCTCCCCCCCCCCCTCTCTCCTGTCCCCCCCCCCCCTCGCTCCTGTCCCCCCCCCTCTCTCCTGTCCCCCCCCCTTTCTCTCCTTTCCCCACCCCCTCTCTCCTGGCCCCCCCCCCTCCCTCTCTCCTCTCCCCCCCCCCCTCCCCCCCCCTCTCTCCTGTCCCCCCCCCCCCTCTCTCTAGACAATTACTCAATATGAATACTACTCTCCCTCCTCTGATGACGGTTTGAAAGTGTCCGACCCCCCCCGCGTATTGTTTTTTACACAGGTTTCCCCGGAGTTGGGTTTTCGCTTGCGTTGTTTTTCAAAATGTTGCTCTCGCTGAGGCGCCGTCCTCATTTTCGGACCCCGCTCGTTCCGAATCGTGCTCCCGCTGCAGCGTTGGCCTCATTTCCGTGCTTCCGCTCGTTCCGAATCGTGCTCCCGCTGCAGCCCTGGCCTCATTTCCGCGCTTCCGCTCGTTTCGACTCGTGCTCCCGCTGCAGCGCTGGCGTCATTTCCCGTGCCTTGCCACGGCATGCAATGCAATGCTAGGTTGATACTACGTTTTGCGGTGCTCTTCTACGCCATGCCATGCCGTGCTCTACAATGCATCGCGTACCCTTTCCGGAACATTGCTCTGCTCGGCATCCGACTGTGCGAGTAGAGAGGGGATCTGCGCCATGGTAAGGGATGGGAGGGAGCGGTAGGATGTCAGATATGACGCGAGCGCACCTAGCTTGTCCCCCCCCCTCTCTTCTATCCCCCCCCCCTCTCTCCTGTCCCCCCCCCTCTCCCCCCCCCCCTCTCTTGCCCCCCACCCTCTCCTGGGGGCTGGCAGGGGGGGAGGTGCCGAGCACTTAATTCGTCAGGTAATTACGTCCCCCCCCCTCCCCCCCTCCCAAGCAGAGCTAAAGCTCATGCTGAAGCAGAGCTTCAGCTTAGACTTGTTAAACTTACACGCCGGAACGGCTGATTTTTTGACTATGTCAAATTCATCGTCGAATTTCCCCCTATTGGGGGACGCGCCCGAGTTAAGGCCAGGACCAGACAAACACAAGACAACACAGCAAGACAGGGCACTGCAAGTGCAGTACAGGTCAAGCGAAGGGCGGCAGCAAGCCGAGGCAAGACGCGGCAATCAAACGCAGGGCAGCACGAGACGAGGCAAGACACGACGAGCGCAGGGGAGCACGCAACAACATCACCAACACATCCGTCGGGCCCATTCCCGCTCCGGCCATTCACCCAGGGACAGCCGAAGGCCGCATTGGCCACTCGTTCCGAGACTCTCTCTTCGCCCCTCGAGAGGTGGCGCTCGGCCTCCACCCACGGCAGGTCCGCGTCGCGTTGACCGGCGGCGATCTTGCCGCCGAGGCTCGACGCTGAACGCCGTCGGCGGCTCAGAGTCGGTCCATGTTGAGCGCCCTGACGTTCCGGAGACGGCCCACCGGGCATCGTTCGAGGTGGGGCGATCCCCGCGGTGTCAGGAGCCAGCGCTGGGGGGTCGGCACGGCAGGCCCCGCGGCAGCCTGGGCGGGGGCGCCCCCCCAGGCCGTGCTGTGGGCCGCTTTCCGGCGCTTCGACCTGGACGGCCGCGGGCCCAGCTGGGCGCTTCTGGGGCGCTCTGGGCCGTCTCTTGCCGCCCCCCTCCCCCTCCCCTGGCCCCCTCTCCTGCGCGGCGCCCTCGCAGTCTCTCTCTCTCTCTCTATCCCTCTCCCTCTCTCTCCCTCTCTCTTTCGATGTTCTTGTCGTCCTCTCTCTCTCTCTCTGTCGCTCGCTCTCCTTTGCCTTTCCCGTCGATTCTGATTGGAGAGGACACGCGAGAGGACACAAGGATACTCGTTATTTGGAAGGGTCGACCTGCTGATCAGACTCGACTGCTCTCGACCCATCCTTCTCCCTGTCATCACCTGGCCTCTCTGGAGCAAGCGAGGCTCCTCTGACATTGAGCTCGGGGCCCTCGCTCGTGCCGGCGTCCTACCACAGTCCCCTTGCCCCCTTCCCCTGGGCCTCCCCCTCCCGGTTCCCGATTCCCGTGCGTTGGAGCTCACGAATCCCCGATGTGTTCTCGACCCTACAGCCGTGCCCCGCATTCCAGCGGAGGTAGGGGGTGGGTGGAAGCTAGAGTGCATCTGATGCCACGCGTGACGAAAAGTCCTTCTCGACCCTGCGCCCGCGTCCTCTAGAGGCCAGTGTCGAAGGCAGATCTGTTCTGTCCAGTTCCAGCGCGCGCCGCAGGATCATGCTGGCAAGCATCTGCAGAGCCGTGCAGAGCCGTTCGTTCGTTCATTCTCTTCTGTTGGTGGTGGTGTGCCCGTGCCCCCTTGGTACGCCGAGGGGGGGGGCAGGGGGCGATGCACCAGTTTCGGCCGCTTCGAGGTCTCCAGGGGACCTCTTGGAATCCCTCTTTGGGGGTCTCCTGGGGCGGCCTGGCCCGCGTCGGTGGCGGCGGCCTTGGGGAGAGACTGTCTTCTACGTCACTTGCTTGTCGTCCTTCCCCTCCCCTCCCCACCTCCCATTCCCCCTTCTCGTCGTTTGCGCAACGGTTGACCACGCTGGCTCGCAGCATGCGTGCCCAGAAATGAAGCTCTGGTCACTGGCGCCGACAGGGCCAGCTGATATGTATAGGTTTTGCGGCCGGGATTTCAGGCCAGAAGCGGCGGGCATTGCGATCATCGGATTCCAGCCTGCAAGCAGGTTGCGTTCGTCTGGGCTGCGGGTGTCTGCGTGGTGGCCCTGGCCCTCTTTCGAAGTGTTGTCGAGGCAAGACCGTCGGGCTCATGACGTCTGTGTCCTGCGCCGCGTCGCCTTCGCCAGCCAAGCATGCTCACGACCGCTCAAAGAGATGTGCTCCTCTTAAGGAGCCGTGTGCACGCATGACAAATTCTTTCCTTGGGCTGGGCACTCACCCAGGGGTTTTCCAATCCAGGTGATCGCTGTTTCCCGACCCAAACCCAGAAGCACAAAGTTGGTATCCGATGATTCCGTGTTTGGGTTTATCTCGACAGTTTCTGCGCCGCATCACCAAGGCAATGGCCTGATCTCTGAAAAGGAGATGGCTGCCATGATCCAGGACGACGCGAGCTTCAAGGTCGCTAAGGAGCTGATCAAGGAGGCCCCGATGGAGAGAGCCGGGGCCGCAGAAGTTTGTGTCATTTCTCCAAGGGCGAGGGGGGGGAGGAGGAGGAGGAGAAGGAGGAGGAGGAGGAGGAGGAGGAGGAGGAGGACGATGGGGGGAGGAGGAGGAGGAGGAGGAGGAGGAGGAGGAGGAGGAGGGAGGTATTAGAATTTCGCTCTGCGACTGGGTGAGAAGTGTGGTGGTATCAGTTAGCCCAGCAGCTGTCGGCCGACGGCACTTTTCGGCTCAAGACATTAGTGGAACTCAAGCCTGGCCCGAGCACAGAAGCACTATCATTTCCATTACATCGTCCCCGGTCAATTCCTCCTCAGGACTTTGCATGGTGGCATGGCGAGGATGATGGCAGCTGGGGCCGCAGCAGCAGTGGCGCCTGCCCATGCCAGAGTCCCGCCCCCGGAGTTAAACGCATCTGAAGATCGAGATCAATGGTTCAATCCAGCGAGGTTGGGTTGATACCAAGGTCATGTGAAAGTGGCGCTGAGGGCCAATCGTGAGACAATGAAATAGGTCACCGACAGAAGCCGCCGCGGGACTGAGGAGGGCCCTCACCATCGAGGATGGGTATGGATTGTTATTGGTGGCTCAGGAATCGAACCCTCTCTGCAGCATCGTGAGCCGCAACCTGTAAATGGAAAGAGCATTTAAAACACATTCCGGTTAAGAATCGGGGGCTTCGAGTACGGACGGTCAAAATAACGAAATGGAGCACGTCAACGAAGTCGCCGAATCCATCGATGAAGGCAAGGGCAAATGAGGGGGACTATAGGAACCAGTTGGTGGGTACAAAGACACGTTGCAGTTAACAGCCTGTACAGGCGACCGAACCAAATATCGGGAATGGAACGAGAAGCAACTGAACGGATTGGCTCAGGTCAACCCACAGCACCGAAAGGCGTTAAAACACTTGAGTCGCAAGCAAGAAACCATGGACGGGACACTGCATGATGAGGACATTAATGGCAGGTCGACTGCGTTGTAATTCGCCTCGACGTAAAGAGGATTTTTTTGCAAATTGGATGAGGACATGTGGTATGTGCGAAATGGCAAACGAGAAGATGACGGGGTATTGGCGACCCAGAATATCTACAAGTGGTTATCCTCCGTTACCGGTTTGACCTCTCCACCAAAATGAGCTTGGCCGTGAAGCCGGACAAGCCCAAGAAGATCGAAGACGTGGCCACCTAGAAAAGTGGGCACCGCTGGTAGAAACGCTGGAACAATGCTGTCCATCTTGCTCGTTAAATCTCCCATGCTGCATCCTTTCGTTCAGAGCCATCCTGACGCACGCAGGAGACATGGTTCGAGGGGTGACACCAGGAGTACTTCAAGACGCCAGATTCGCTGACAATAAAGAAGTACCATTATTAATTCGTAACATGCGAAGACCTGTGCACGAAAGAACATGTCAGGCGCCGACGCGAAAAACCGCGATGCCATGGGCATCGGAGGTGTCAGCGGCAGCAGCGAGGATCAGTGACACCCATGGGACTCACATGAAGGTTGGGACTCAGAAAACTACGTGGATGATGACGGTCACTGGTGGTCCAACGACGCGGAATGAAGTTATGAGGGCTAGCGCAGTGGCGGAGAAGGAACAGGTGCAGTTAACGACGGTACAGACGAAGGAGAAAAAGGGGGCCGAACCTTACAATCGCGGCCACTGCGGACGCATCGTTGCGAACTGCAGGACAGACGGAGGCGCGGGCACCGAGGGGAAGAGCGGAGACGAGGGAGGAAATATGACACATGATCAGTATGTCGATGGAATGGTCAGGTTGCAGTAGGAAGCTGCAACGGACCAGGTGGCACAGGGCCTGGCAATTGACTTGGGGGGGAGTCGCGCCCTCGGGTTGAAGAGTGCGATGCAAGCTGGGAAAGATGGGGCGCACATCAGCGCAATGTAACGGAGAAGGAGCCGACGAGGCGGAACATAACCAGGACGCAAATTCCGCGCTTGAGCTCCCTGGGGGCTCAAGCGAAAGCCGGAACTTCCCCCTCGGTCAGTCCATGCTGGGGCGTCGTGGAGTGGGCCCCCCCCGCTGACCCGCCTGGGTCAGGAGAGTAGGCGCAGTGGGCGCAGCAGTTCCAGGTGAGAAAAAGCAGCCATCGGCGAAACCAGCTCCGTCGGCGAAACCTGCTCCGTCGGCGAAACCAGCTGCCGTCGGCGAAACCAGCTGCCCTCGGCGAAACCAGCTGCCGTCAGCGAACCAGCTGCCGTCGGCGAAACTGCCCGACCCGACACGCCCGCTAGGGTCCGCCCGCCCGACCCGACCCGCCCGTTCGGGTTCGCGCGTGCTCGGTCGAGCGCGCCCCACACTTTAAGTCCGACCCGCCCGACCCGATCCGCCCATCAGGGTCCGCCTGCCCGACCCGACCCAGCCCGCCCGCTAGGGTCCACCCGCCCGACACGACCCGCCCGTTCGGGTTCGCGCGTGCTCGGTCGAGCGCGCCCGCACTTTTTTCGTCAAGCCCGCCCGGCCCGACCCGCCCGTTGGGGTCCGCCTGCCCGACCCGGCCGTTAGGGTCCGCCCGCCCGACCCGACCCGCCCGTTCGGGTTCGCGCGTCTTCGGTCGAGCGCGCACTGCTCTTTAATGTCCCACCCGCCCGACCCGACCCGCCCGTTAGGGTCCGCCCGCCCGACCCGACCGACCCGACCCGACCCGTCCGCGAGGATCCGCCCGCCCGACCCGACCCACCCGTTAACGTTCGCGCGTGCTCGCTCGACCCATCTTCATGTCCCGCCCGCCCGACCCGACCGGCTCCCCGCCCGACCTAGCCCGACCCGCCCCCTAGGGTCCGCCCGCCCGACTCGACCCGCCCGTTCGGGTTCGTGCTTGCTCGGTCGAGCTCGCCCCGCACTTTTTTGTCCCGCCCGCCCGACCCGGCCCGCCCGTTATGGTCCGCCCGCCCGACCCGACCCGACCCGCCCGCTAAGGTCCGCCCGCTCGACGCGACCCGCCCGTTAAGGTGTGCGCGTGCTCTGTCGAGCGCGCCCCACACTTTAATGTCCCGCCCGCCCGACCCGACCCGCCCGTCAGGGTTCGCCCGTCCGGCCCGACCCGACCCGCCCGCGAGGATCCGCCCGCCCGACCCGACCCGCCCGTTAACGTTCGCGCGTGCTCGGTCGAGCCATTTTCATGTCCCGCCCGCCCGACCCGACCCGCCCCCCGCCCGACCTAGCCCGACCCGCCCCATAGGGTCCGCCCGGCCGACACGACCCGCCCGTTCGGGTTCGCGCGTGCTCGGTCGAGCGCGCCCCACATTTGAATGCCTCGCCCGCCCGACCCCGACCTTCCCGTCAGGACCCGACCCGCCGGCTAGGGTCCGCCCGCCCGACCCGACCCGCTTAGGGCTCGCGTCGGATAAGCCAGCGCCGGCGAAGTCAGCGCCGGTGAAACCAGCCGCCTGCGAAACCAGCGGGGCGAAACCAGCGGGGCGAAACAAACCAGCGCCGGCGAAGCCAGCGCCAGCGAAGCCAGCCGTCGGCGAAACCAGCCGTCGGCGAAACCAGCGCCGGCGAAGCCAGCTCATGCCCCTGACTGGAGCCTTAGATGGAGCTCTCTGCCTCGGCCACGAGGCCAAAGATCGGGGACGGGCGCGCGCTGATGCTGAAAAATCGCCCAGTTTCCGCTGCTCCTCTGGGCCCTTCTCGCCCGCGCGACCTGATGCTTTTCTTTGTCCTTCCCGTCTGGCCATGCAAAGCCGTCGCGCCCACTGCCACTGCTCCTCCCCCTCCTCCTCCTCCTCCTCCTCCCCCTCCTACTCCTCCTCCTCCTCCTCCTCCTCCTCCTCCTCCTCCTCCTCCTCCTCGCGTGCTCGCCATGGCGGAACTCGCGGCCCTCGAGGCAAACCACGGGCACGGCTCGGGAGACCCGCGCCCACGTCTTCTTCCCCGCTTTCCCTCCCTTTTTCAGGCGCTGGGTGGGACGGATGGGCAGGCCGACGTGGACGGCGACGGCCAGGTGAGTTTCGACGAGTTCTGCAAGATCATGGGCGCCTCCGCGTGAGCGCGGACGCCTCTCCCATGCAGCAGGCGAGCCCCGGAGTGCGCGGTATTGTGTTGTGCGCTCTGCACGTGTCCGCAGCCGGGGCCACTGCCAGGCGGCGCGGCGAGGAGGGAATGCAGAGGGGGCAGACCTTCTCAGAAGTCTTACCCGAAGACACAGAGGGTTTCTTTGATGTCTGCTCATGGGAGCTTTGGGCGGCGACACTGAAATCAGCTTTTCCTGCATGTGGACCGCGCGTGGACCGCATTCCTGTTCCCCCTCCCCCTCCTCGTTCTCCAAGCCCCCACGAATCCAGTCCAAGTCTGGTCCAAATCCGGCCCAAATTTGTTTCTAATCTGGTCCAAATCAGGCCCAAGTTGGACAGTGCTGGGGGCCACGCAGGCTCCCATGGAACAGACGCCAAAGGTTTCTCAGAAGTTCGGAGGGCTTCTGAGAAGCCCCGCCGCCTCCTGAGGGCCGGCACCCTCTCACCTCCCCTTCGGCGCGCCGCCGAACTCCGACAATGGGCCCTGCGCATTGTCCGCAGGTGAGCTCGTGTTGTTGTGGCGCGATCTCTGGCGGCAGCGGGCAGCGAGGCGGAAGGCGGCGGAAGAGGGGGGGAAGGGAGGGGTTGCTCCAGACCAGGAGGGCTGGACCTAAGCGGTGTTTTGACGATGTCGTGGGCCGTTTTCGTTTCGACTTCGTTTTGCGGTAGAGGTGGATTCGAGAAAAAAGCGAGGGAAGTCGAAAACTAAACGAAAACGAAAAACACTTGTTTAGGTTCAGCCTTGTCTCCAGACGGGGGCGAGGGCGAGGAGAAAGACACGAACGCCTGAGATCGGGACACATCGCTCCAGAGCTTCCCAGTACTCGCCGAGCGCGTTCCACTACTCGCAAAGTGCCTACCTACTTGCAAACGTCCGAACAACACATGGCTGCTTTGATGTAATGTATCGTAGATCCCCCGCGGTGGATCCAGGCCATTAGCGAGTAGCTACTTCGCGAGTAGTGGAACACGCTCGTCGAAGTACGCTCTCAGAGCCTCACGTGCCCGCGGCGTCCTCTAGGCCCGCGGGCTCCCAGGGATCCCCGAGGTGTCCGGATCCCACGTGTCCTGCTCCCGGCTCCGTCTTGGCAGCGTCTTCCGTCGTCGTGCAGCTCCGTGTCCGAGGCGGGAAGGTGCCCATGGCCGCCTGCGGGTGGATCTTCGGTGACCTCGGCAGGCGTTGGATAGACGTACACATGTATGCACGTGTGTTTCTTCTATACAAATATACATATATATATATATATATATATATAGGTGTGTGTGTGCATGCATGCATGCATGTATACATGCATGTACGTATGTATGCCGGTATGACGGTCAATTGGGGCCACCAAGACCCTTCAAGGTGGTTCCGACACGGCCGAAGATGAGTTTGAGACAGCCCTCGAGCCTGCGAATACGGCCCCAGTTGGCTTCCAGACGGCCCCAGGCAGTTCAAGATGGCCCCAAGACGGTCCTGTGAGGCCCCTAAGAGGCTTCGAAGAGGTCCCTGGGAGGCCCGAATCCTTCAACAATTTGAGGGTTACCGTCGGTTTTCGAAGGTCTCGCCTTTTCCACTTCCGAGGGGCTTCTGAGAACCCAGGATGGTCCAAATATGGCCCCAGGGGAGCTCAAGACGGCCCAAGGGATCCAAGAGGTCCCTAAGACGGCCCAAGATGGGCCGAAGACAGCCCAGTACGGCCCCAAGAGGCAGCATTGTTTCAAGACAGCCCCAGAGGTCCGCAAACCAGCCCCAAGGCGGCCCCAAGAGATATCAAGATGGCCCAGGAGGCCCTCAAGAAGGCTCCAGGACAGCCCCAAAGACCCCCAAGACCGCATCTACAGCATGCGCCCAATAGGCCCCAGGACGGCCCACAGACAGCTGGAGGTGGCCTGGAAGCTCGTCAGTAATGCCCTCGGAAAGCCTATGTCATCGAAATTGAGTCCCTGCCAGTGCGACCCAGAGTGGCTTTCTGGCCGGCGTTGCATCATGGTTTGGCCCCAGATGCGTTGCCAGGATGGGGGGGGCTGCTTTCGATGCACCGTGGTTTGGCCCTGGTGGCGGGTGCTACGGAGCCAGACTCGGGCACCCCTCTTCTGTGCTCAGCTTTCGGGTCCTCGGGCGAATCCAGAGAAGCATAAGAAGCGTTGAAATTGTCTCCAAGACTCCAGTGCACGTCGCGGGGGTCCGCAATATCAATTGCCCCAGGTCACACCACCAGCCCCGGAGGAGATCCAGTATATCCCATGCGCTCCTCATTGGCAACTTTCGATGCGAGGTCCTTAGCCGCAGAACCTAAGCGCGCGCGAAGGGTGCGTGGTTACAGTATACGTAACTATCTATATATGAGCATGGATATGCAATATAGCGTGGGCCCTAGACAGTGAGATATTGAACTGTGGAGGTGAATTATATGTGGGATAAGCTATGTGGAGTTAGCTATGTGGAGTAATATCTGCGGAGTAAGCTAGGTGAGGTTGTGCAAGCAGCTATGCGGCGTGAGCTGGGTGGTATTAGGCATTGTTGCGTAAGCCTGGTGTGGTGACCTGTGTGGTGCAAGCTGAGCGGTGCAAGCTGTATTGTCATGGTCTGAGCTGTGCTGTGCGAGCCGTGCGATGGGCGTTCTGCGGTGTGATACATGTGGCGTAAGCGATGTACCCCCCCCCCCGCGGGGACACGAGGCGTCCACGAGGCGCTGCAGGGCGGCACCGGGCGAACCCCCGCCGGACCCACCAGGAGCACAGGGGCCCGCGCGGCGCTCCCAGGCGGGCACGGTGCGCCCGACGACGAGGCCGACAGACGACAGACGACGGACGACGGGCGACGACGACGACGACGACGAGTTATAATATACTTCGATTTTGGCGACAGACGACAGGCGACGACGACGACGACGACGATGAGATTCCTATTGTAACCGATTTAGAATATATTTCGAATTTGGCAGATCATAGATCAAGCTAATTACAATTGTATTCCGATTGGAATGTAATGCAGATCCTACTGGAATTGAACAGGTCCCAGATCCAGCTGGTTTTCAATGGGTTTCCGATTTGAACCTCACGTGAATTTACGTGGGCTCGGTGACATCCAAGATCCAGCCGTGTCCAAGTTGGGTTCCTATTGACATCGAAGTAGAATATATGTTGAATTGGGCAGATCCCGAATTCAGCTGACGGCAATGAGCTTCCAGCACGAGAATCAGCGGAACCACGACGGATAGGAAATATTGATGAGCAGGCCTGGATGAAACGGGCGGCGGATGACCAGTACGAGTACGAAGGGAGAGCTCAAGGACCGATGCAACATGAATGTGTGCTGTGTGTGGGGGCATATATCTATGTGTATATATATGAATGTATATAGATATATTCATGTGTGTACGTACATATACATATGTGTGGCTACATGTGTGTATGTATGTATATATACACAGATCTAGGTATATGTGCGCACACAGGAAGAATCTTTTTCACATGCACATAGCTGCTCTATGTACACATATAGTTATTACATAGTTATATATGTATACACACGCATGTGTGTAGGACAACTGTCTTCGGCCCTTCCCGCCACCGTGCCAGGGTTGAGGGTTAGAGTTCTCAGGGATGCTTTGTGGGGTCTCTTCGGACCGCTCTCGGGGGCCTCTTAGGGGGCAGTTTTGGGGTCTCTTGAGAGCCTCTTCTGGGCCTCTCGGGGGTCTCTTGGGGGTATTTTGGAGGCCCCCTGGGCAGCCGATCCAACAACATGCGCATGTCGAGTTGTCCTGGTCAGTGGTCTGCGGCAGCTTTGGAAGCGTCTTGGCGGCTGTTTGAGGGGTGCCTTTTGGGTTGTTTCGGGGTTCGCGTGAGGCGCTCGTGGGGCTCCTTTGGGGCCCTCTTGGTTGGCTTCAGGGGCCTCCTGGGGCCATCTTGGGGACACTTTGCCAACAACGGAGGGCGGCATCAACTACGCCCCACCCCCCGTCGGAGCCCTCAACGTAGCATATTGGGGCCCTCTCGGAGCGCTCTTGGTGCGCGTTGTGGCGCTCGTAGGGCCTTCTCGGGCCCCTCTTTGCCTTTCTTGGGGCAGTCTTGAGGCCTCAAGGGCCCACTGGAAGCGAAAAGGGGAGACGACATTCACCGACAAGAACATTGTTGTGTTTGATTGATGTTGGTCTTTTGGGGGCTTGCTTGGGAGGCCCCGTGGCCACTTGTTTGAGCCGCTTTACACCCTCCGATGCATGTCATAATCTATCTTGATCCATCGTGGACTATCTTCAGCGATCTTGGCAGCAACATTTGGCTCCCTGGGGCCCTCTTGAAGCCATGCTCGGCCGCCTTGGGCGCTCCAACGCCTCGACCCCCTCCCCCCTTCCAGACCCAGGCCAGTGGGAGGGGGTAAGGGAGGGTGACCCCCCTCCCAAAAGTGAAAGAAGGGGGTTAGCAGACTGAGCTCCCTAGATCGCTCACGCCCAGAGGGTTGGGGCGATGCCCATACAGCCTGTAGCGCAGCTTCTCACACCGTGCCGAATAAAGATCCTACTAAACTTCCAAGTGCAATCAGTCGTGCAGATCCCAATGCAGTTTGCAATGCGTCTCCATCTGCAATTGTTAAAGCAGTTCCTCGTGCAGGTAACCGTAGAACAGATTTCACTACAGCTTCTGCAACAATGGGTACTACATATCTCAATGCAGCTCCAGTTGCAGTTCCCTGACACAGTCACGAGTACAGCTCCCATTAGAGATCCGATTGGTGTGGGTCGTAGGACTCTCAGTCCCTCTCTTACGACTGCATCCTACTACAGTTCATATTTAAGGTCGTACGACGGTTCCTGTCACGGCCAGTAGTACAGCCCTCTCGCAGCTCCTCCTATATGTCCACCAGCTACTCTTGCGACAGGTTTCACAGTTGATCTTACTATTTCTAGTATTGCGAAGGCCTTGCGACAGGTGCCGCCGACCCTGAAGGGAGACGACGACGACGGCGGCGATGGCGACGACGAAGGTCATT